ATAAGGCTGACAACAAGTGTGTAGGTAAATATTGGAGCACATACTTAATAAAAGTGGCTCTGCCTCCATAAGAGAGGATTCTGCTTTGCCACCCTTTAATTATGCTTACCACCTTAGCTACCAAGGAGTTGAAATATACTATTCACATTCTTCCTGTGTATAATGGACACCGCAGGTAAGTAATGGGAGATTCTTTCTTGGTGAAACTTGTGACCTGCTGAACTCTTCTGATGGAAGCTGGGAATGTAGAAGGAGAAGCCATGAAGTGGCTTTATGCCTATTGATTTGTTGCCCAAATGTGTGTTCATAATTGCTGAGAACCACCATAATATTCTGCAGTGATGCTCTACCTCCTGATGTAAAAATTATGATGTCATCTGCAAATCTTAGGTGGTTGACCTGTGGATCCCTCTTTTCCATGTAGAAGCCATTAAAGAATTGATCATGGGTGAGTTTGTTGAGCATCCTAGAAAGTAGTTCAACTCCTATGATGAACAAAGATGGGGCCAGTGGATCACCTATTTTCAAGCCTCTAGTAGAGTGAAAAAAATAACATCTATTGCCATTGATGATCACTAAGTACCAATTATTTACATAGTTCTCCATATCATGTCAATTATTCTTTCATTAAATCCCATTCTTCTCAGCATAATACATGTAAAGCTCTAGGATACCCTATCATAAGCTATTGCCATGTCCAGCTTGATAACAACATTTGACCATTTGTTTGGCTTTTTGATGCCTTGCACAATTTCCTGTGCAAGAATTATGTTTTAAGAAATACTCCTGCCCTTAACAAAACCATACTGTTTGGGTGAGATGATTCTAGGAAAGATAGGGCCAAGTCTGGAGCAGATAACCTTTGAGATGATTTTGTTGAAACAATTGCTGAAGCTGATAGGTCTGTATTCAGTGAAGGAGTTGGAAAATTCAACCTTTGGTAGCAAAACTAGGCAGGCACTAGTCATGTACTAAGGCATATCTGAACCACCAAAGAAGGCTAGAACAACTTGTAGTAGATCAACCTTGATGATGTCCTAGCAGGATTGAAACAACTTTCCATTCATGCCATCAGGACCTGCTGCACTTGTAGGATTCATTGAGAAAACAACTTCCTTGAGTTCTTCAATTGTTGGATCTCTGGTGAGAAGGTCATTTTCTTCATCTGTGATAAATGATGGAATACAAGATAGCAAGTCTTCTCTAATGATGCCACCCGTTTCTGTAAATAGATCCTGAGAGTAGTCACAAACAGCTTTCCCTATAGCTTCATCACCTTGCACCCATTCACCTTTAATGTCTTTGATTTTATGGATAAACAACTTTCTTCTTCTTCCACTCATTAAACTGTGGAAGTATCTTGAGTTTTCATCACCATCTTTGAACCACTGAAGCTGTGTTTTTTGCTTCAGAATAGACTCTTCCAACTTCATATACTTTCTATACTAAGTTGTTACATCTTGAAAGTTCATTCTGCCATCAGCATCATTTGTTTGTGCCCAAGTCATTTCTTCCTGCTTCACTTTTTCTTCATATTCCTTGGCCTTCTGAACAATATCCCCATATTCCTGCCTCGACCATTTACTTAAGGCATTAGAGGCTGCTTTAAGCTTTTGATGGAAGATCTATATAGGATTGCCTCTGACTTCCCCATTCTAGACTTCATGAACAATGGATATGAAACCTTCATTTTCACCCAACAGTGGAGAAACTTGAAATATTTTTTGCTGGTATCCTGCCTGGCATTCATCTCCATCAGCAGAGGATTGTGATCAGACCCAGTGGAGGATAGGTATGAAATGGTGGTAGCTGGGAAGGACATCAACCAGTTGTCATTTACCATCCCTCTATCTTATCTCTTCCAAATTATTGATCCTGGACCTCTTCCATTGGACTATGTATACCTAGGTCCATAAAACCCCAGGTCTACAAGTCCACAATCTTCTATCATACTGAGGAATTCTAAGCTCTTGATCATTTGTATGGTAGACCCCCTATCTTTTATTTAATGGATGTAATAACATTGAAATCTCCAATCACACACCATGGGATGGTACAGGTCAAGGATTTCTTCCTCAGTATGTCCCATCGTGGTCTTCTGAGATTTGCTTTACACTTGGTATAGACAACAGTTAACTGGAAAACTTTAGCTGCTTCTACATGCTTTAGTTCAACAGTATTTGCTGCTCATCTTGGTCAATGACTGAGCCTATAAATTCTTGGTCCCAAAAGATCCAGATTTTTTTGTTGATATTTGATGCTTCTTGATGCATGGAAAATTAGATTATGTAGTAGTTCATATGAGTGTTGTCAAGGAAAGGTTCTAGGACTAAAATGAAGGATAATTTGTGAAGGTGTTTGAGAGTTCTGAGTCTTTCAATGGTTCCAGAGGTTCTTATACCTCTTGTATTCCATGTGATTGTACTAATCATTAAAAGTGTTTGAGGAGGGTGTGCTTTGGTGGAAAGGTAGAGATGGTTGCTTTTCTTCTTGTGAGGTAATGTGATGGCTTATTTCTAGGGGAGAGTCCTTGTGGTTCAATGACTGTTGCACTATCAGAATGACCATTAAAAGCAGTAAGAAGATTACTGCAAGTATTATCATCCTTCAAGTCTTCACTATGTTCATCATCTGTTTCATCACCAATATCAACTTCATCCTCAGACTGTATATACATATACTCATCTGTTGCCTCATGCAATGGTGAAGGTGAAACTAATGCCAAAGTACCTACTTCCTTTATTAGAGGTGAGGGTGATACATATGGTATAGTTCCTACTTCCTTAACAAGAGGTGAAGGTGCTACATGAGACATAGTTCCTACTTTCTCTACATGGATTTGAGTAACAGAGTCAGCCCTAGTTCCTACTGCCTTAGACACAGCTGAAAAACCAGTAGAAAATAATAGTACCTGCTTCCTCCAAATGAGATGAGGGTGCCACATATGATTCTACTCATGTAGTCAAAGTTGAGGGTGAAA